CCATAACTAAATTAGAAATTTAACCGTTATCAATAATATAAAAATAACTACCAATAAAATCATTGTGCAGTCCGTGCAGGTGAAATAAGGACCATCTTAACCAACAAATTGGACCACCTTAAAAAATAGTGTTTAAATTCAACTCGATCACAATCAGCATCTGTAAAAAATACTTCCTGAACAAATACTTAACGTCATACAGCTGCTCTTGAAGGCTTTATGATATTTTTTTTTCCAACTCTTTGATGGGAGCTTCAATATTTTAAAACTAATTCCGTGGATGGTATGGTTTAATTTAACTGAAAGACAGTTTTTAAATGTGGTCCAATCTGTTGGGTAAGATGGTCCTATTTCACCCCCACGGGATTGCAAGATTCTCCGATAAGATCTTCAAGATTTTAAAACTGGTAGAAATTTTAAAACAAAGAAATAAAAACAAAATAATTATTAAACGAGACCATGAATATTACCATCAGACAGCATATAATGATACAATGTGAAACACACCAGCTATAGTTTGAAAAGCAATCATGTGGAGTAAAAAATTGGAAACTAGCATCCCATCCAAAACCATTTATACAAAAAAAAAAAAGAGCGCTAAAATTTATAGAAACACATTTACATATACAATAATTGTCATCTGCAGGCATTTTAAATCAATTGGACAACTTAAAGTAAGAAAAGCACAGAATGGCTCAAAGAAGAAAGCAAATATTCAAGATGATAAAAAGAAATATACCTTTCATACGAATCTTGAGGGTGTATAAAAGATTTTCCATGAAAATATGCTTCATGTGTCTGCTCTGGATGATAAGGTTCAACATGACGAGGAGGGGCATCTATTCTAACAAGCCTGGGCTGCATTTGTGAATGAGAGACATGTATTCCAGGTTCGAATGGATCATACTGCTCATGATGGACAGCATGGTGAGATCTTGTCTCAAGCATCGGAGGGTAGTGCACTCCAGACAATGAGTACTCAGGAAGATATGATTTAACCACTTCTTTAGTTCGTGTAGGCCTAAATGATGGCTGAACTGCCACATTTGGACGGGCATGTGCTTTCTTAGCAGATGGTTTCTTGGCAATAGGGCGGAACAAGGAAACTAGACTTTTTACCTTCATTAAAAAAATAAGCCTCAGTATTTGTAATAAGCATTCTTTACTAAAAATGAACATGTTGTTTGAATAATACGAAACCTAGAACTGAAACCGATTCAACATAAAGTTATAGGACACAATAACCTGTGTGCTACTGAGCTCCTGTCTAAATTTAGGACCACCCTCATAATTGTCTTTGATAGCACGTCTGAAAGCACTCTCAGGAAGAGGTAAGCACTCCTTGAATATCTTAAACTTCACCTACATTGGAGAAACGGAGATGGGTTCAAAAAAATAACTCATGGAAAAGGAAGCTAGGTTAGGCTTTACTGTGATTGTATGTATAGCATTTATAGGAGGGTTCACTCTACCCTCCACCTTTAGGTCGTCTCCCCCCTTCTTTGGGGTTCTTCATGCTATTTATA